AGGAATGCCTGAACCTTTGCCAAAGCAGCAGCTTAGTGCTGAGGCAGATTCACCACTAAGATTTGGTTTTTAAACAAAAAGTAGAACAGCCTCCCCAAAATTTAGTGTTCATGGTGTGTATGTACCTTGGGATTTTAGCCAAGCCATGCCAAAGACAGAAGGTCGGGGCAGGCTGATGAGAAGCTAGAACTGTTCCTCAGTGAAAATGGTCACCTCATTGTCTGTACGATGGTGCATAGACATCAAGCCTTACTCTGCTCTCACTTCCAGCATGTGAACCACGAATAACTCCAGTGGCACCGTATGGAAGTACGTCTTGAGGTGTTGACATATTGCCTATGTCCCCAGTTTTGCAGTCAGCAACAGGCAAAAGATGCTTTAATTATACTGGCTTAACGTTGAGGCAAAGGCTTCACTACACAGGGACTCTCGTGTACCAAACTTGTCTAGTAGTAGAGCCTATGAGGTCTGTGGACTGAGGTTGCTGTATCTTTTATTTTACTAGGCCATTAACAGAAGACATCTGATAATTTGTATTCGTTGACTGGTATTTGAGAGCCCATCCCTGCCTGCCTTTCCAGTTAGGGTAGCTATTGCTCTGTCATTACTTTAGGCTGCACATTATGACCTCTAGAGTAGCAAGCAAAGTTTATTTCCTTTGATCCAATACAGCATAATTACGTTTCATTAGTTAGTGGAACACTTCTAGTTTCATGAATTTGATGCTTATAATATTTAAAGTTATTTGAACTTGGTGAAGGGCAGACTGACTGATACTGACTTCCCTGTCAAACTGCTGTAGCACACTTCCGTCTGAAGCTGTATGAGCAGAGTTCAATATGCAGGTTTGTGTATGGATTTGTGGTTTAGAGGTTCATAATTTATTTCCAGGTCACTTTATTTCATGGTCCAGACCCTAGTGAGGTGAATGGAGGAGGAAAAATATTAAGCATCCTTTTATTGCAGTAGGTTTTGAGACCTGGAAGATTACATAGATTTCTAGACATGTCTAGTCCTTGTAACATTAAATAAATTAACTTAATTTACCCCTCCCCCCATCAGATACTGATGCTAGTAGTTTATGTGGAGTCAACTGAAGAATATTAATGATGTGCTTTTAATATGTACTAATTAGATGTTCCATCCTTGAACAACTGCCCTTGTTTTCCAGCTCAGTCCCTGGAAGAAGTTGGCTGCATTCTGCTAAAACTGAAATCCATCACTAGGGCTGCAGAAGATTTATTCCTGTTAATCTTCTGTCTGTGAATGTCTCAAAACATTGAATGAGGGCAAACCAGTGAGACAAAGAGTGAGATGGATCATGTGCAAACATCTACTAGTTAGCAAACAATAAATTTGTAATGAGCCTTTTCTCCAGTCTTAATCCTTTTGATCTCTAAAATCTCTCCTTACAACTGCTGAAGCTTTGTTGGCAAAGTCACTTCAGAGAAAAGTCAATAGATAACTGGGTTTCCTAATCTTTTGATTTAATGTCTCAGATATGGGCTTTTGCAAAAGAAAAAAAAATCTTGATGTAATTTGTAACCATGAATTCTTAATACACTTAGTAAGCTAACAATTCTGAAAAAACACAGTTCCTGACGGAGAAGTTTCAGAGACTTGATACTATCAAACTGGTTGAGAAATGTCTTCAGCCTTGCGACCTAGGTCAGGGTTTCTCTTTATCAGGGTTTGCTGATCCAATAATAATAGACTTAATCACTGTTTAAGAGAAAATGGCGGGCCTTCACATATCTGTTGATAGCGTTGGGCAGTTTAGAAGAGATCAGTGAAGCATCTGCAAGAGCGGTATACCTACAGCAGCCAGTCCCAGTAGGCCACTGGCAGCATGGCTGGAAATCCCAGTTCTGCGCATACTACCTACAGCCACGTGTGTTTGTATTACTGTATGCAATAAATATGTTGTGGGTGGTGGTATTACCCCAGGGTGTAACTTCTCCCCTAAACCAAAGAGAATTAGGACGAAAGGTAGCGAGTTTGAAAATCCCCTGGCGCCGAGGTGAATTACAAAGCCCCTGGAGTCACAGTCTTCAAAAAAATGTTAGTTTTCCCAGCTGTTTAACCTGCTAGAGAATCACAATGTTTGCTGTGAATATGGAGCCCTGTCTAACTGCTACTGAAGTTAGTGAAAGGGATTATTAGAATTTATTTGGAGCTCTTTTAACAAAATATTGCACATTAAGTCAAAAGCGAGGCTGTCTGTGCCTGTAGAACTGTTTTTAATGGGATGGAAAATCTACCTCACAGTGAGGGCACTGCAAGTCTGGGTGTACTTCTTGATGTGCTTGGTGCATAAATCTATTGTGTTGTTTCATTTTAGAACAATAATGTGAATAATAGTTTCTTGAAAGCATTCTGGACTTTTCTCTTCAAATTTTAATATCTTGGTATAATCGTGTTTTCCAAGCAATTCAGAATTTTCTGATGTGATTCATATTTTCTGTGCACATGATACTTAACTTACTTATCAGATGGGTTATGAACATAGCTATTTACTTGAAGGCACTGAAATGATGAGGCATTAATGAGAAGAACAGGCACATGCTTGGAGGTGATTTTTATGGAATTTTTCGTGTGTGTCCTCCAACTGAAAGTAGTTTATCTGTTGCCATAAAAATAAAAAGAAGGGGATCAGTAAGGTGGTGTCCTGTTTACTCTGAGTGGTCATTAAATCCATTAGTACTTTTCTTCCATTCCCTGTGGTGGTTTTTGGCTTTTTACACAGAGCATAACTTCATTACTTTTTTTGTTTAAACTGTACTTGACGCATTCTCTTTTCTCTCACATTTATGGGAATGTGATTGGAGTAGTTTGGGGGATTTTATTCTTCAGGCTCCCCAAAGCCCAAATTTCATGTCTTCATTTTCTTTAAACCATCTAATGAAATACTGTCTGACATTCTGATGAAAATTCCAAGAACAACACTAAGAGAGAATCTTTTCAGGGAGCTTTGCTATCACATGCTAGTTTTGCTGCATACAAATTCAATATGAATCACAGTATACAGTTACGTTTCTTTCTTCCATATTCTCCTAAACTAGAAAACAATATCTGAACTTGTTACAACAGATCTTCAGTTTGGGTGGTCTTTGAACTGGCTAGAGCAGAGATCCTCTTACCAAGAGATTTAGTACTATTTCTTTTCGGGTGTCACTCTTCAGTGTAGGGTGGTCCCTGTATACATCATTAGCAAAATCCTTCTCTTTTGGTAGTAGCTGGTCACTGAGGAATGAAGTAAGTAGGCAGCCAGGAAAGTTGAGGAAAGTCATCTCCATTCTCCTCACCGCTGTAACTACTCTTTTGCAGATAGGTGAATTTCCATCTCAGTTTCACAAAGATTTAGTACAAAATAGTGAATAATGAATCAAATGTTACTGGATGTGGAGTTGCATAGCATTCTCTCATGCGATGAAGCTGGTGGAGGAGCCTGTGCAGGAAGGGCTGGCCTTCTAAGTTTTCGGGAGGGACAGCTGGACAGAAAGATTCAGTAGCTTTCTTAATTACATCCCTAGCTGTAGACATACATGTGGTATTGCCAATTTTGATCAGATTATTGACAGGAGTGTAAATTAGGTACACATGGGTGCAGTTTTGTGCTGTCAGTGGTATTGGGAATATGGTTTCCTCTGTTTTGGTTATAAATGATGAAAATTCAGTCCTTCCAAAACAAGCAGAAAGATGGCTTTGTAAAAAAACCCATAGTTGTCTTGTTGTTTCAGGAAGCTTTCTTAACTTTTTTAAGTCACCAGGCAGAATCAAGAATAAAGGGTTTTGCTAATTGCACATCATTGTTGTTGTACTCTATTATGTTCTTTTTTTTATTTCTTTGAGCTAAAAGTTATTACAGTATCTCTGTAGTGTCCTTTAAAGTAATGGGATTTCTGGGACAGTGAAGTTTTTGCTTCTTCCAGTTCTCTTTAGGAAGTAATGACAATAAAAATCTTCTCCTTGTCCCCAGAAACTGAGTGACTCATTTATCCAGATGGGTACAATATGAAATGTGTCTGAGAACCAGGGACTGGAATGCAGAGAGTTTGGTGGTGCTTATAATGTGGTTGAAAAGCTGTTCCTATGAAACAGCAACAGAAGTTTCTTTTAAATCCATAGAGTTCCCTACATCAGCTTGCAAAGACACTTTCCATCTGGGAAGAAGATGTTGCATAGGGGAAAATTTATGAATTTTTCACTGCTGTAGATAGTGAATTCTGTCAGTGAGGAGCTCATGGTTCTATATAGTATAAGAAATGTTACTAAATCCAGTCAGTTTTAGAGGCTTAAGCACCAAGAGAAGGCTCTCCTCCCTGTGCATCTTTTCTTTTGTGGTACCTTAAATAAGCACCAAGTGGAAAACTGGTATTATGTTATCAGGTGAGCTGTCGCCCAGGAATTTTCTCCTTCCTTCCTTTAGGTCCTTGAAGCATTGCTACTTCAAGTTGATGCGGTGTCACTTCTGGCACTGCTTTCCACCATTCACATACTCGTTTGGGGTTTATTACACTGAGCTCCTCTTACTTTGTACAGAACAGGTATTTGAAAGCAAGGCAATCCTTCCTCAGCCCCCCAAAAGATGCTGTTTGCACCGTACTATAAGAAGGGCAAGTAGCCAGGGGCCATCCCTGAGCAACAAACACTGCTGGCACTGCCTTCTCTGGGACTGTCAGGGCCCTCCCTTTTACAGTCTGCAAACCCTAGGCATGCTCTAGCGGAGGTGCCACTAGAAATGTCACCTGCGGAGAGGACTGCATGGCACGTAGGAGCTGTGGATACCCATGTCACCTGCTGGAAATCCCTGGTCTGTATTGTCTGGTCTGAATGTATTTACCACTTGCTTTCTCAGTTACTACAGGCAAACTCTGAAGTGTCTTTCCCACGTTGGAGTTTATCTGTAGAGAACCTGGCAAGGTTATTGAATTAAGAGACCTGCTTTCAAGCATCTTCCTTTAGCTCGTCTGTTTGTGTGATTTAAAATGTAATTAATTTACAATTGTTTCTTCATGTCTGGATGGATTTTTCACTAACCTGGAGGAGAATTGGCTATTTATGTTCTGAAAGTAATCGTTACTGCTAAAGTACTGCCAAAAGTACCATGCTCATGCTCCTTTGTACGTTAATGCTTAAAAAATGATTCCTGAATTCAGTCTCTTATGCACAAACTCATCCCCTCACTTAGCACTCCCTACATAATCGCCATCTTGTCCCTGCACCAGGCTTCCTTGCATGAGTTCTCCTAGTGGCCCAGACTAAATAATTCACGGTCCTGATTCTTAAGGCTTTCCATATTTTATTCTTTTCCATCTCTCTGCCACAGCCTCCTTTTTCTCACTACCTTACAGAGATCCTATTAGGCTGAATACATTTGTTTGGGTGGCCCCTCCTTTTATTTCTCCCAGGCGCTCTCACGCTGCCACTAAACCCAGAAATCATTGCCTAACATTTGCCTGTGCTGAGAACAATGTCCTCCCTTTCCTCTAGGAATAGCCTTTAATGCTTTTTGTAGAAATCCAAGTGGAGGTTTTGAGACGGTGACTGAGAGAGGATGGGTTTGGATGCTCCGGGTGCTGTAGCCATCGGCACAGGCAAGCGCGACAGCTGAACAGGTCGCGCAGGAGCGTTTCACATGTGCTCCCTCGTTTTGGCGTGCCTCGCCTTGGGCGGCATCGCTGATCTCTTGGCGGACTCGCTTCGTGCCGCTGTTAGCCTCTGCCACCCCTTCCCGCTCTCAGGGCCGTCTGGTGCATCGGCTTTTCCCCCTTTGCTTTCGAGCGGATTTCAAAAGGGCTGTTTTGTCCGTGCAGGATGAAGTTAAGTCCTTGAGCCGTCTTGCGGGCAGTCCTCCCACGTGGGGCAGAGATTTGCCTCACACAATAGCGGAGTAAGGATCGCAGCAGCTAGTCTTAAGGCTGTAAATTAACTTCGTGCACCAGGTCATGCTGCACTTTGAAGTTGTTGCTTTTTTATTTGTATGCTTCCCCCGTTTAGTCTTCAAGAATATAAATCTTTAGGAAGAATTATCATAGTTTAAAAGGCTTAGACAAATGGCAGCTGGTATTGGTTCGTGGTCTCCAATTGGTTCCAGACATCCCTGGGTTTGATAAGACTACAAGACAATCCCAGAAATTCCCTGCCTACAGCTTTTGCTAATGCCATTAAACGTAACATCGTGATTACCGATGCTTTTGGAGCTGATTAGCTAGCATCCTGCGTGACTGATAAACACTGTAATTTAATTATTTCTTCAGAATGTCCTCATGTTGTACCCCACTCCCCCTTCTTAGATTATCTTTATTTTAAAATACGACTTAGTACAAATGTTTAATGGGGATTTGGAGGAAGGCCTTGGAAACACAAGAATGCCTGTGTTCAGCTGGTGCTTGATGGGGACAGGATGCTCCCCTCCAGCAACGCCCAGAACAAGCCTTGCTCTGTTCCCGAGCTATTCTGAGTTGGCTTGGCTCTGTACCCATGGAGGTGTCATCCCAAAGGGGAGGATTTCACCTGAGCTTGTAGCTTTTGGCTTTGTGAAAAGCTGACAACCATGTTTTCATTCTAGTTGGGTGTCGACACAGAGAAAGAGCTCATGACAAAACCTCCTTTTGGAGTCGTCCCATGCCTAAAGTACTGGCAAGCAGAAAAATGCTCTGTGAGGAGTGTCTGAGAGCACAAAGAAAGCAAAATAAAGGGCAGTGATGAAATAAACCCAGGGAAAAATTATTATTCTTTCTGGGGAGCAAAGAATGCATGTTTTGAGTGTCTGTGGTGAGAGATTAGATGAGACAGCTTTGTTATGTGTATGTCTCTGGACCTTTGGGAGTTGCTTTCATTATAAGCTTTTGTAAATTGTATCTTTGGCTTTTAATAGTCATTCCTTGAAAGGTTTTTTTTTTTAGTGTACCGTAAGTTATAGTTTTGCTTTCACAGATGTACAAAATAGTATATTGTCTTCCCTTTTGTCACCCTACCCACCAAATAAAATTACCTCTTACGTCCAGAAGTATAGCCATAACTGATGCCATGGTTTGTAAGCACACGTGTAAGAAGCCAGACAAGGTCAGGTCTCTATCAGTTGTTGTACAAGCCTTAGCACCATTTTGTTGACAGGGCCCTTTTTGCCCATTCATTGCTCACTTCATTGTTGAAAGTAAGAGGCAAGGTAACTTGTTTAGTTCTTGCGATATTTGGCACCATTAGAAGGAAGCGGAACTGATATTTCTTCTAGATGAACCTGCAGGTCATAGTTCACCTGAGATTTTTATTGTATTTTTCCAAGTCACAGAAGTGCTTGTCCCAGCCTTTGCTAATCTCAGTGTAAGGCGATAACGTCCTGCGCGCACAGGGACAGGCCGGGCGTGCCCCTGAAAGGTACGAAGTCAGTGCACGTTAGAGAAAACGTGATGAACTTTCTCTGCAGCCCTGAGCCGCCTGTTGAACAACCAACATGCAGCGATTGGAGCTGACATTGGAAGATCAGCATTGTCGGGAGATATTAACTATCTTCAGTACATGAACTTGGTGTGCATTAACCTAATGGACCTGCCTTTCCTGCTTTCCCATGGTGAATGTGCCTGCGCTATTAAACGCAGCTGCCTTTTTATTTCTACTATTTATTGGTGTTAATGTATATTGTACACTGTGGGGCAGATTTTAGCTGCAGCTACCAATCTGTAAATTGTGGAAATGAAAAGAAAAATTATAGAATCATAGAATCATAGAATCATAGAAAGTTTTGGGTTGGAAGGGACCCCTAGAGGTCATCTAGTCCAACCCCCCCGCAGCGAGCAGGGACACCACTAACTAGATCAGGTTGCTCAGAGCCCTGTCCAACCTGGTCTTGAATGTTTCCAGGGATGGGGCCTCCACTGCCTCTCTGGGCGACTTTTGTGCAGTGCATAAGAATATGTGTTTATGTAGATGAGCGTGTAGCTAGACAGATACTTAAAACCTGTCATCTGAGTCTTGATTCAGAACTTTGTCTAGTAAATATCTGAATCTCTTCACTTTCCTAATTTTACACTGAAACTGGATTAAGCTATTACATCTGCACGTACCTGTGTTAGATATGTTTAAAAATTGCATGAAGGGTATGTATACATTCTTGCTTTTGGTCCAGTGGTTTGTAGTGGGCGTATATAGCTCATTTTGCAGTTTGCCTGAGCGTAAGCATGTCTTAAAGTGTTAGTCAGGCAAAGCACCACCATGCCTGTGTGGCCAATATGCTCTCCTGTTTACAGACAGGGAGGCCATAGGGCGATAGTAAAGAATGAGCAGGACCTGTCAGCGTAGCTGCTTCGCGTTGCACAGTGCGTTAGCATAGCTATGCTGCTTTGCTTTCAGCCAGACAGCTACCCAACCTGAGCTCGTTAAAATGAAGGAAAGAAAACTAATCTCCAAAAAGGAGAGAGAAGCGGGGGGGGGAAGCCTTCATGAACCACAGGGTTGTGTTTTTATGTAGCTGCTTTTGTGGCTATCAAACTACCCGAGGTTCATGGTGTGTTCATCTTGTCAGTACACATTTAAGACCACCAGCTTTGTTTTATTTCAAGCCATCTTTTGGGTTGATGTAACACAAGATGACTGAATGTGTTTTGGCAGAGAATAACTAATCTAATCCATATACTACCAGATGAAAGTAATTTACTATGGGTTTGGGGAAGAGCTTGAATTTTCAGTGCAGCCCACAAAGACATTTTTCCCCTTTTAATTGTCCCTTTTTATATCTAAACAGATCCAGCAATGGGAACAGAACCTGGAAAAATTTAACATGGACCTTTTCCGAATGCGATGTTACCTAGCCAGTTTGCAAGGTGGGGAGCTCCCAAATCCGAAGAGCCTTTTGGCTGCTGCCAGTCGTCCTTCAAAACTGGCACTGGGGCGGCTTGGCATTTTCTCCGTCTCATCCTTCCATGCCCTGGTAAGTCCGAATGCAATTTTCATGGGTGTGTTACACAAAGCCACCGTTAATATTGTGCTCAGATGTGGAATTGTGCTGGGATGATACGTGGCTGCACCCACATGCATTGCTCAGACAGCCTGCTCCCTTCTCACCCTTCCTGCCTATTACTGGACTGAAAAAAAAAAAAAAAATCTTCCACAGGCAGACTTTAAAACTATAAGGATATGGCCGTGATTTTTATTTGGCCCCTGAGGACTCCAGAATTGGGTACTTCTGACCTATATCTAAAAAGGAAACAAACCAAAATATTCTTCAGATGTAGATGAGTCACTGTGTTGAGATTTTGTCACTGCGATTTCACCTCCACTGAGTTCAGAGTTTAAAGTGTATAGGAGCTAAGTCACCTGGAGTGAAAAGAGCCTAACACTGAAATTTCCAAAAGCAGTTCAGGTTCCTCTGGGCTGATCTTTTTTGGAGGTCCCATATGGCTCTGTTTTTCAGAAACAGTTTGATACCCTCCTAAACAGGAAGTATTTTTAGAATAGGCTGAAACTAGAAAGAATCCAAAAGTATAAGTCACTTTTTAAGAACTGTTCCCTGCATTTGCAAAGAAGAATGAGGGAGATCCTTGGCTGCTGTAAGCTGTTGTCACGCTGTCGGCTGTAAGTGAAGTATGGCAGTAGCAGGTTCGCCTCTGCTCTGGAACCTTGGCAGCGTTGTGAGGCTGATCTTGGCAGAGAGGGATGGACCACATTTGCTGCCTGAGAAGTCAGTCTGAGTAGTGGTCCTGAAGGTCCCAGCACACAATCTGTTCCTCCCTGCCACTGTTTTTATCTGTGTGGTTTGTGTCAATGCTTGTTAACTCAATGCCATAGCACCTTTATCTCCTGTGTTTGGCATTTTTGAGAGTCTTGCTTCCTCTGGCAATTTCATATCTGAATGATAGGTTGTAATTTTTCTTCAGAGCCTTTTTATTAACTTCTTTTGTTGTACAGAGATATTTTCTCAGCTCCTCCCTTCCTATCACCTTCCATTTTTGCCCCATGACAGAAAAAATGCACTGTTACGCCACTGAAATACCAAAACAAGCATCACCACTGAATCTTAAAAACACTGTCCTTGCACCTTGGCGTGTTACACTGAGGTGAACTGAAGTACCTCTCATTTGATGCCTCACGTTGAAGTAACTGTGTCAGCATTTTGCTCTTATGAAAGTGATATAGGAAGGCCTGTCTCTGTGTTTAAATAGATCTGCTCCAGGGATGACACTGCTCTCAGGAAACGTACCCTATCTCTGTCACAGAGAGTCCGAAATAAGAAGGGATTATTTTCTTCGCTAAAAGGACTGGACACTTTGGCAAGAAAAGGAAAAGAAAAGCGACCTTCTGTAACTCAGGTAGATCTTATTTGCTGGGGGTAGCATAGAAGGGCTTGTTTCTGCCGGGGCTCATCCTGTGAGGTGCTGCTGATGCACGGGATAGGAGACAGCTGTCCATCAAACCCACATTTGCAGTCTCAGTAGCCATGGCAGACTTGCAATGGGAGTATCACTCGTGAAGAGTATATATCTAATTTTGGATTTCTTTGTGATAAATATGATTGGTGAATGAGAGGTTTTGACCCAGTGGGTTAGTTTATTATCAGCAGCACAAGACCATCAGATTTCAATTTGTAACAAAACTCGTCTTCTGGCACATCGCAAACTGTTTGGATAGGGTTTGTTTGGAGACAGCCTGTGTGCACAGTCCTTAACACACTGTGTGCTGGCTTGTGACTGGCACTCTGAAGTACTATTGGCATGGCCGCTCAAAGCAACGCGCCCTGCTTGGAAGTACGTTTTGGCCAACGAGAGACGACTGCTGTCAGGCAGGAGGCCGGCTGCAGGAGCAGGCAGCTGCCTGGTACAGCCGTGCCAGCTTACACCAGCCGAAGGCTTGGCGCAGGTTTGATATGCTGGGGCGGGCTGGCCCCGGGGAGAGGGGCTGTGCCGATGCGTGCCCCCGCTGACGGGCTGCGTTGCTGCTAATGAAGCTACAGCATCTCACAGGGACGTTCTCTCTTTGTGAAACTAACGGCCTGTGCACGTGTTTAGTGTAAACCCCACACTTCAGGAGTCTGTGTTTCTCAATAAAGGCACAGTTAAATGTGAAACAAAAGTTTGCTGCCTCCTCCCTGAAAAAAGAAGGTAAATAACAGCAGAGACACTAGGTGAGGCAGAAGTCGTAGAGGTCCACCCACCTCAGAACATCACTGTTTTCACTAGCCTTTGCCATGTCTGCTGTTTCTCCTGCAAAGCAGTATTTTGAGCGTTGACATTAGGTGACTTTGTTCCTATTGTTCCCTGGCCCTTGTGTTTTGATTTTATTAGTCAAAAATCTATGATGAGCACTTGAAAATTGGCTCTTCTTGCATGTCTGGTAATCTGCTTGTGGAATATTTAAACAAGCCTATCTGTACGCATACTGCAATAGTCCCAGAGCTGATGCAACAGATTCAATGTTGCAAAATATCATGTCAGGATTTTCTGGTCTGGTGGTTTTTATTTTTAATAGGTAAATATTTATCTATGTGTTACACTGTGATGAAGCTTCTCAAGGTGACTGTTGCACATTTTAGCATATTGATCCAGTTTTGTTTACGTGGTAAAATTGAGTAAAACTCAAGTCTGTCTTACAAAAGGCTAAACTGAAGGAGAAATTTTCTCTGGGTCATCCTTTTCACATAATTTCCCTTGTGTTCCCCAGCAGGTGAGGCTGGTCTGCAAGTCCTGCACCTGTATTTCTTGATTAATAAAAGGCCTGAGGGAAGGGATTTTATGCCCCTTTGCTCCGTTCTCAGCGGAGTTGATACCTCGCACTGTCGTAACTGGGTAATACATCCTCCCGTATGTTTTATAGCCCATGAAGGAGATTCTGTGGAGCTCAGGGACAGGGAATCTTATTTCTGTGTCAAGGAGAGGAGTGTCCTGCTGCCCTCCCAGTGTTTTTCTGAGCGCGGAGGAGGGAGCCCTGGCACAGGAGGAGGTGCCCCTGGCACGTCCTCACCCTCCTTACTCCAGACCTTGCAACCAGCTGGCCCAAAAAAGTGTTCATTTTCATCCATGAATTCAGTTTTTTAATTTTTTTTTTTAATTTTTATTGACCATCCTACAATAAAATTAAGGAAATACAAATCCTGAGTGTTGCATATGAATAACACCAGGCTGTGACTCATACTCATAAAAGTAAGGAATTTTAAAGGGCGTGGCTTGAAAACTGACCCATGAACCTAGAAGGTGGCTGAAAAGGGACCCACACCCTCGCTCAGACTTGTGTGTATGCACATAATTGTATATCAAAATCAGAACAAGCCTGAGGCTGCCTTTCTTGTCATCTCTGTCAGCCCACTGGGGAGCTTGGGTAAGCAGAGAAGCGGAGCTCACTTCTCTGCTCATTGTGCTGCAGTGCCTGTGTCAAACAATAGGTTAAAAATGTCTTACTTTCTTGGGTTTAATTAAAGTTCATTTGACTGGAGCTGGTATGTTTTAATCTGCCGTACCCTAGCTTCAAAATTAGATGGTATATTCTTGAACACAGTTCTGTCAGAGAAGTTTTTAAGTTTATCTTATGTTTAATTTTATGGTATTAATAAAAAAAAGGCTCAGAGTTTCTATGCTGGGAGGCTTTCGTAAACATCAATGAAGTGTCTCAGTCTTTTACAAATCAGTTAGTAAAACTGCACTGCAGCAGATGGGGGATGTCTAGGCTCACATTATCCTCAGTTTCTTAAATGCTTATCTGCTTTCGTGTGTCTAACTGATAAACTGTTTTGAGAAATCATAAACAATAAAATACTTTGATTACATCTGTGGGTGTGACAGGGAAGAGGAAGTTCAGAAGTGGTGGCCTTCATTTGCATTGGCAGAAACTGGATTTGTTATGAAATTTTAAGAGAGGGTTTGTTGTTACCTTGGATTATCCAAAAGGCTTTTGCTAGTAAAAAAAAAAAAAAGGCAACTAAAAAAAACCAATAACAAAAAAAACCAAACAAAAAAAGCTCAGGTATAACTTTGATATTGTTCTGATTTGTGCACTGCAGGAGTTAAAAAAATGCTAGTTATATTTGCACTTTGGGATGGTAATGTTATTACCTGCAAATCTCAACATTGGGTATAAACTGTATAGATATATCCGGTGTTTATATAACCCTTATCACTAAAATATCTGATTGTATCCACAGCCATTTATTGGATTTTTAAAAATTTCCTTAATAAGCCAAACACCTTTGTGAGATAGTAGTAGTTAAGCTTTCAAAACAGATGGGGAATGTAAGTCTCAGTTTCTGCTTTCATCACTTCCAGAGCAGACATAGTAGTCAGCTATTTTCATTACTTAATAGTGTGGGTTTTGGGTCAAGTATGCCTTTAAAGCTAAGCTAAAAGTTTCCATTGATAGTGTCAAGCTGACTGCTTGGTTAGGAGAGATGAAAAACTATAGGGTAAGAAGTTTTAGAAAACAGCAACCATGATTTGAAATAGTTGCTTTAAATAATTCTGAGATTTGTAGCTGTACCTAAGAGTATCCCAAAGGGTGAAACTGTAACTTCAAATGTAGTGCGTGATTTGAAGGCAAATTTAATCTTGTTGCTAAACAGTAGATAGGAAAAAACAAGGACGTGAGTGCATTTATACATGTTTGAATGTGAGTGTGCATGTAGCCTGAAATAGAAAACATGCTTAAATTTTCTTTGTAGAGGGAGATCTGTGTTTCTTTAATACTTCTTCTAGTCAGAATAAAGCAATACAAAGTACAATAAGATCCCTGGGGTTTAGCAGGTTGAGATATATTTATTCATTTAGTTTTCGGTTTTATTTTCAAAGAATTTACCTAACACGGGTAAAAAATAAAGGGTTTTATTTGTTTAACCTATTTACTTATCTGTAATATTTTTAATAGATTTTCGATTCAGCTGGAGGACACGGATTTACTGGTGTCCAGAATTCAGCCAACTCTGCTGAGGTAAGCTATGCCTGTCCGCATTCTGCACTATGTTGTTTTCAAATTCCTGAATGTATTTCACAAAGTGTATGATGAGGCTGGTTCAGAAATCCCACAGATGTTCATAAAACGCAGTTAGTGTTAGATGGCAGGATTATAATTCTGCTAATGAAACCACTTTAACATAAGTTTCTGAACATGCATGCTAGCCTTTTCAAAAAACAAAATAATAATGAAAAAAAAATCCCCAGAAGCCACTTCACAGCACTAATCCTTACAGTGTGTACACTATCTGAGAGAGATTTGGAATTGAGCTTGTCTGAAAGCATCCTTCACAGTATGGCGAAACCCAAGATGTATTTTTCTCCTTTGCCTACTTTAACAGAACCTGTGTATTTTGAGTATAAAGGCAAATAAAGTCTAATTAAAGTCTGTGGAGCCATACCAGCAGAGAAGTGAGAGTTAATATACAGCTGGAGTAAAGGGGGAGGAAGCAGCATCCCCTCAGCAGCGTTACCTGGTGAAGAGCTGTAGCTGATGTTCTGGGATGCTCAGGAGCAGGAGAGCTGCCACTCGCCTCTGCCTGGTGTGAGTCATGGGCCTCCGTGGGGTCAACGGCACCCTCCCCCTGTCTGGAAGCAAAGCAGGACACTCCAAAATCCATAATCACAGACATGTAGGACCACTAGGTATTGTCTGTGTAATGCGGGGCTTACACAGGCAGAATCCTTCTCCCTCAGTAGGCTCGTGCAGGCTCCAAACAAAAAATTCAAATTAAGTCCTAGGCACAGGGTTTCTGTGTATGGTATAGCTGGGTTTCTTTAGTGGCAACATGTGCCAGACTCAAAGGGCTATTTGTCTTCCCATCTGCCCCCTGTCCCTTTTCCTCCTTTGTTTCCTGAGCCAGATACTCCCCGATGCAGTTTAAAACTTGAAAGAAGACTTTAAAGAATAGTACCACAGTACTGTTCTCTTTCAGCTGAATTTGTGTACCAGGTACTAGACAAAAAGTCAAAATCTGCATTTAAAATGAAATACTGCTCTTGAAAATTATTAACTATAATGAAGAGCTGTAATGAATCTTCTGAGGAAGGTTTGGACAAAGTTCATTGTTTCTCATAGGTTTTTATGTTGTTTTTTTGTATCATTGTGTGCTACATTGTTTATTTTCTCATCAAGTGCATTCATTTAACGGCTAGGTAAGAAAGAAATATATAATTATGCAGAAGTTATACCACTGAGAGAGGCATCTCCCACTGACAGCAGCTAATTCTATAATGGTGTTTTGCCTCCTGAAAGTATCTGCACATTTTGTCTGTTCTTTCAAGAAGCATATTGAAACTCCTGAATGCCCTTAGTTACTTGACCACTTGCTTGTTATTTCCTGGGGTGGGAAAGTATTTAAACCAAATCACTTCTCTCTTTTCAAAATAAATTATAATTATTAGGGCTCTCTGGGTGAAATGATCTCCTGTAGAGAGAACATGCCATTGGGTGTGGCGTGAGATGGCATCCGTTTCCCACCTCAGAGACAGCAAGCACAATTCGTTCCTGTCTGGTTCCATTAAAACATGGAAAGGTTTGCTCCCTCCTAAAGCCGAGAAGAGGCAAACCCCCTTGGGTGCACCCCGAGAGGGTTTCTCCCGAAAGTCTGTGATGCCAGTCCCGGGGTTTAGCGCTGACCCCCTCAGGGCTGGGAGGTCGCCAGTGCTGCCTTGTGCAGCGGGGTCTGCTGGGGGTCTCCTGTCCTCTGGCCGGACAAGAGCGTTCGCTCTTCCTCACCCCGTCTGAGGAGACAGAGGAAGGTTTTGAGGGTGCCAGGGAGCAGGCAGAATGAAGTCTTCTCCCTCTGGTGCCGTGTCGGGGAAGGGACGAGGTCTGGCTTCTTGACCCAGCTCTGGATAAAAGCAGCGTTCTTCAACTTCAGGCAGGGGCTTGCAGCCCCATTCCCCAGATAGAGGGGACCGTTGGACTGGGGGAAATGTTGCTGCAGATTTTGGGCCAGGCTTTCACAAAATCCAGCAGTGTTGTGTTTCAAGACTTAAAAAACCACCCCAATTTAGGCACTGAAGCAGAGCTCTGGAGCTCAACCTTATTTCAAAAACTTTTTTTTTTTTTTTAAATGGGAATTAAATATAGCGTGGGCATTTTTAAGATCCTGACATTTTGATGAATCATACAACAACTCAGAAATGATTCATCATAACTCTGAAAACCGTTACTTTGGCATCAGCCCAGTTTCACTGGCTGATTTCAAAAGAAAAACAAAAACAGCATCAAAACTTTTATAAAATGCTACCCGAGGAGTGCAGCAAATGACAAATAGTGAAGTCTGCCAGGGAGGCTGTATTTTCCCTGAAAAGGATAATAAAACCAGAGGCAAATAGTGGGAGGAAATTATGAAGTAACCTACTGGTCCCGCAGCAGCCCTGTGGCACAACGTGTGACAGTCTGCAAATCCTGGCGCCTATTTCTGGAAAATTGGATGGGTTGTTATAACTTTCTGCGGCGATGAATGAATGAACTATTGTAGAATTAGTCACTGCAGGCAAAACAGGAAAAAAAAAATCTCTGTTCGTGTCAGATTTTCTGAGATGGAAAAAGTGGATGAAGCAACTTGACTGCAGTTAAGGAACAGAGTCATGTTTAGTAACAGAGGCGAGTTTATCTCAAGGCCTGTGCTTGGGCACCAGTGTACGTGGCAAGGAAAGGGAAGTACCTCACTTTGGGTGCAGAACGTTCTGTCCCGTCTTAAAAGCTTCCGGAAAAAAGGTGGCCTTAAACCGATTTCTCATCACCTTAATCCTCTGTGTTCTGGGGTTTGGTTTTTCATCTCTGGCAATAGTGAGATTTATTTCAGTTACACCGATTTGAAGAACTACTGTTGCAGTGCAATAAACAATCGCGGTGGCTGCAAACCTCTGAGCTGCTGAGAGCATCTCCCTAGCTGAGGCAACATAGCTTCAGTTTTCCCTGGAGGAAGCTCTCCCCCAGCCTGCCTGCCTTGCCCTGTCTCCTTTCTGTTATTTACACCGTGGAAGGAGGTCAGCATTTATTCCCAGGCACTTGATTTAGTGCTTTCTGAGAGGACCACGCTTCTGTGGGAATTATCTTCTTCAGCGATACCAGTGTTATGAGCAGTCTGGAACCACAGCCACCGAGGTGAAACTTCACCTGGTGTAGATTTCATTGCTCCATCAACTGCAGTAGCATAACAGGATTCCTGTTATGTGTAGTAGTTGCTGGATTTTAGTAGGATTTCCATGGACCTGTGTTAATTGAAATTTCATTTTCAACTCGTTAAAAGGGACAGTTGAGCAAGAGATGTAAGATTTGTAAATGCCAGGAGTTCATTAATATTATTCCACCAAAACCAGCATTACGCTGGCATCAGATTATTACTGTACTGTACTCTAGGTCGGCTGCAACCTGAATTTCTGCATTGTTTGATAATTACCTGAATCATGTTGCTTGCTGCATCATTTTCACAGCCAGGGTTGTTATTTGGGAAAACAAAATAATATTGGTCTCTCTGTTGCTCCCGGTAGATTGTTGTCAATAACTTTGCTGCCTGCAGCAAGGGAAGCAGTCTCCGTGCAGTGATTTTACTGCAGCTTTTAATTGCAGTGCACCCCTGGGCTGGTGTCCCCGCAGAGCCGGGAGAAAGAATTGCACGATCAAGGGGCTTTGTGCAGGCAACAAAACCCCCCAACCCAAACAAACAAAAACACACAGAAAAAGCACTGGGGAGACAGGCACTCCTGAGAACAGCTCAGGATAGCTGAAGATGTCTCTTGGGTGGCAGTTCTGCCAGTCTGCAGCGTTATTGTCCCTTTGCATTGACTGTAAGGGGAATCGAGGGACCCTGTCTGCGTAAACTTAAATGCCTCGTTGTGGGTATTGAAGTGACATGCTGAATAGGCAGACCCAAATATATAGGTGAAACTCCAAATTCTGAACAGCTCTCAGTGTTTTTCTTCTCCCTGTGTGGCTTCCTTTCAGATGTGTAGCCTGAAGTGCAGTACAGGAGGAAGTGTGAAAATGAAGGGTGGGAAAGTGACGGGGAATTCATGCGGGGTGGCTGTTGTTGTTTGATCGAGTGGAGTGGCTTTGGAATGAGGGTGAATGTGATGCAAAATGGTAAACAGGCAAATACCCTGTGCTACCTATGAAACAAAATATTCTTAAACTGTGAATAGAACAGGAACACTTTATTCCTGCTTAAGTCCTTTATTATGTTATGGTAAGCCTTGCTTCACAGTGCTCTCTGCTGGAAGTTTGCTATATTATAATTTTCTGTAAAAATTACAATAATTCTGGGTTTCTTGCATTCGTTAATGAGGTAAAATTGTAGTAGTCAGTTCTTCTTAAGAATTTATTTCCACTGCGATATAATATCAGGTAGGTACATATTTTCACTTTGAGTTAAATCAACAGTTAATGTGAGATAAAGGCATGAGAGCCCTTAATGGGAATACAGAGGAAGTGCAATCGCTTCTCAAGAAAATCACATCTTCGATAGTGAATGAGAGCAGGTAGCAGAACTTTGTCCCTGTCTTGCCATGGGGGAGTACACAGCACTGCATCAAAATACATATCCACTGCAATCTGCCAATGTAATTGTACTTTTGGGGCTTTTTCATATGTTACTCCTTTGTTTCCAGCAGCAAGTCGACGACTTTTTGAATGTCTACTGCTCAGTGCCAGAGAGCATCCAGAAGGACAGTGCCTGGGAAACACAGACGTATGTTCACTTCTGTGACGGCCAAGGAGTGGCATTGACCCTAAAGCCAGAGCACAGAGTGGAAGATGTTCTGTCTTTGGCATGCAAGGTACTAGTTTTTCGTGTGTGATTGCACCTTGTTAGTAGCTGTGGATTTGAGAAGGAACGTAATACATCAGAGGATGTCTAAATAGTGAGAGCATAATACTGGCATCTCCCTGTCTCTCCGTTAAGGCACGTTGCTCTGTTTCCTATAGCTGTGTTATTTATGTGTTGTAGCCAAGGTAGCAGGTTGTGGAAAGGTTTTCAAGAAGTGTTGCTCTAGACAGTGCACAGTGAATACTTAAAGAGTGGTGATGGTTTGCCAGGTAGTCAGCCCCTGAGAAATCTCAGCACGTGTCCACTCTGCATTGTCATTGCAGCGAACCCTGTAGTTCCGTGCTAATTAGTCACAGACGAGTAACAGGGACTGGTTGAGTTAATGCCAGGAGATCAAGACATTTAAGACTGCTGTGACAAAGGCTATCATACAGGTTTGCTTCTTAAAGGACCCTTTTAAGCTTCTCATTAAGTACCATCTCTACTTGTGAATTTCAAAGAGTGTATTCCCTTCTGAAAGTCAGTGCCAGCAGTTTGAGAGGGACTGCTGTACATCTTGGGACAGAAAACCGAGCCACAGGTTGAAGGTAAAGTAGAAATACCAGTTTTGACTACAGACCAAAGACCAGCGCCTCTAAAACATCGCAGCGTACTTAGCACCTTAGTCTCCACATGTGTCAGCGCTGGAATTTAGCTCTAAGTTCATGATTCAAGTCACCCAAAGTACGCAAACAAGCTTTGTGGAACAACTAACTTTTTACTCGCAAGCTGTGTTTTCTGACAACTGGTAAATACAGTTTATTTACTTCACAAGTAAAGGGGCAAAACAGGAAAGAAAGGAGTCCTGCTCTGTACAAAATCCAGCTGTAGCTTTTGGCATAGGTTAGTGTGAACTTTCAGGTGAGCTCGTTCAACTGGCTTGAAGTTAATGGATTTTGAGGCTTCTAATGGAGGAAAGGACCCAGTTTAATGGCTCTTTGCACCTGGTAATGTTGTAAACAAACAAACAAAAATTATTAAATTATACAAGTTTTTAAAAATATAGGGTGAACTACGGTTTTTAAATCAAAATAAGGACACTGATTTAGCCAAGTCACAATGCATCTCCATGGCATCCCTGAGAAGAGATTATCTTTACGTTGCTTTTGCTGGTGCAGACTGAATCCTGGAGAAAGAGTTTATTGCCTGGCATTACTTTTTAAAATTTCACTGTGCCCAGGCAGGCTGAAGGGATTGTCTGAGACACTGTGTGACCACCAGATGGCACGGTGGAGCTGAAACGGGTGGAAGTAGTTACGGTGACTTGCAAGACCTCTGAAAGAGGAAATAAAATTTATAAATGTAAAATTGAGTTGAAAAGGAAATTCCTTACCTCTCTTACTCCATCATTCCAAAATATTTGTGACTGTAAAGGTGACTTTTAATTTTCATTGTCTGTATCGCATGAAAATTTGGTTTTAAATTATTCGATTTTTTTAAAAAAGTTTTTCTGTTTTATTTTTTCTTTCTATTCTGTGTGTAAAGCTTTTCATAAGCATTCTCTAATGCTGAATACTTTCTGCTCATCTGTCCTGGTTCTTTTCCTTCTTACATTTTCATTCTGCTCTGGTGAGTGTAAGGAATTTTTCTTCATAACAGAACATGTTTGAATGTTACGTGTATAAGGATAAAGTTCAAAGGGGTTGTTGTTTTTTCTCCTTCATTCATGCTTTATGGGGTTTATACTTTTCCCATTTCTGTTTTCCATCTGAGGCTTTTGGATAGCACTTATAGAAAAAAATTTGTATTTGAATACAGTTGTTCAGGATACAGAACACATGCAACTCATAAACTGTTACACATAACAAAATGTTAAGGTAATTACTATTTACTCAGTAGATTTAGATTTTGTAAGCTGCATTAAAGAGGTTAAGTAACCCTCAGGGATGCAGTCATTTGTCCTCTTTTAGGAGTGTTGCTTCCTCCGTTTTAGAAATGTTGCTCTATTAATATGCTAAAATGAAATGTTTTGTGCAGTGGTCTCACCAGCATCCTGATTTTCAGAGAGACTCCCATCAGGGGCTCGGCACTTGCAGGCTAATATCCTTTGAGAATATTCCTGTTTCCCTTTGACTTCCTGTTGAGACAGGATTTTTGCTTTGACCTCACGTGGTGAAAAAAAAAGGTGAAACTCTCTGATCGCGGATGAAACCCAGCAATAAAAATAAAATCCAATAAAGGCAAACCCTTAGGGAACCTGCTTCCCATCCCATCCGCTCTCCTAACATGCATATACATTTTCTACATCAGAAGAAAAAGTTGGTGAGCAGAACTGAGTCATTAAAAGTACTCACAGAAAAAGACGGTTGTGAGTGGAAGTTCAAAAGAACAGAAAGCAATTGTGATATCTTTGGAAGCATATAGCAGTACTCAGTTAATCTAGTAGCTGAGACATAGTGTTTATGGAAGGATTTGGGAAGATTGTAAGGGAAAATGGAAATTGCACTTGAACCTTATCTTCTAAGCAATGCAGCTAGTTTTGTTTATATCACAAAAGTAGTTAGAAAATGACTTGTCGAGGATTGCTTTTGCATGACTCCTAAAGAGCTTTTTGTGCATGTGTCACTGCTTTGTCTTCTGGGATTCTGGAAATAAATAACAAATTCCAAACCCCATTCTCTTTATTCCTTAGATGAAACAGCTGGAACCAAGACACTATGGCCTACAACTCAGAAGACTGGTTGATGAAAATACTGAGTATTGTGCTCCTGAACCGTACGAATACATAGTAGACCAGGAAAGTGTGACTCCTTTTAGATAAAGCTCCGTGATGTCTGTAGCTACAGCTGAATTTTCACCTACATATATGTGTGATTTAGATCTAAAATAAGGTTTTAAAGCTGTTCCTGGATTGCATTCTGCCATCCTCATTCACACAGTCCATGCCTATGCAGACATTTGGGTGGCTAGGCACTGCAAACACACTCTTCAAGAACCGTTTGAAAATTGAAGTGGGGCTTCTGGTACAAAAGCAAAGTGTCAATCTCTACTGCAGGCTGGGTTTTCTGTCTTTAGCTTACTCTGCATTTAGTCCCACTGATACCAGTAATGCTCGCACAGTAACACAGTTCTCTGCACAAAGACAGCAAGTTTTGGCTCTTCATTGGTGCAAAAAAGTATTGTGCTTCTTTCTGATGCTGTACCTTTGGGTTTTGATGCTTGCAGTTTCATTAATTTGTTGACTTCTGTTATTGTTTTTTTCCCAACAGGTGTATGATGAAATAGAAATTTGTCCATTAAATGTTTATCATATTCATCTAACAAAGACTGAAAACATAAGTGATTTTGGTAAGCTCTCAGGAATTTTTCTTTTCATTCTTCTTGTTGCTTACTTTCTCTCTCTAGGACTTTTCTGTCTCTCAGACCAGGTAAAGCTATCCTTGATAGCTCAAAGTCTGAGTCTGCAAAGGACTCGAGGCATTACAACAAAGACCCAAACTGGATGTTTTACACTGGCAAGTGCTTTTCTGATGTTTGGGAAGGGTCCACTTTCTAATTCTGCCAAGCTGGCCAAATAATTCAAGCTTGGAATTGTCAGAAGACAAGTGTCCTTTGCCAGGATTAATACAGTTGGTCTCAGTGAGGCCATGGTCAAGGTTTACGCTTTTCTGTTTTGGCCGTGTGATCCATCTGTTGGCACAGTATCAACAGAGTGTCCTTTGGTACAAATTCTGACAGGCTTTTTGTCCATACTAGGAATAATTATATACCTTGCAAAGATACCTTTTTAAGGCAGCTCTGTGCGGTTCCTTAGCTGCAAGTCTGTTGGTATAAATTACTCCTTTCTGGGCTGGCTCGCTCACTGGTCTATAAGGATTTGCTGCTTTACAGGTTGGGTTTCCAGTTTTAGGATCTGTTTAAGATGCTTCTGTGTCTGATGGACACACTGCAGAACTCTTACAATAACGATGAGCTGTGTAATTGAAATGTCATATGGGGCTGAGGTAGAAAATATTTTTTTTTTAAACGTAATTTGTTTTTTTTTGACAGCACAGTATGACATTTCTTGGAAGTTGAAAAGTCCTATTAGTTTTAACAGGCCTTACAATGACTGAGAGACAATGTGATAATTTCTCTATACTCCATGGGTGTGTTCTCATGAGAAGTATCCTCCCTCTGGTTGTGTAGAGTCTACTAAACACACAAAATAAAAGGGAAATGTTTTTGAGAAACTTTATGTGATTTAAACCTCTTTTGCTTCAGGCTTTGCTGTCACAGCACAAATTGATGAAAGTCAGCATCTCACCCGTATATTTGTAAGTGATGTTCTCCCTGAGGGACTGGCATACAAGGAAGGTATTGTATCATATTTATGTTTAATACTGTACTTCGTTATCTTTCTAAAGTCCCAAAACATGAAGGAGCTTTAGTACTGCTGTCTGAAATGATTCTTGGCTTTTACTATTTGTGATTTTCTTTCCCAAAGACTGTGGAAAGTATGTGATATTAGGAAAGATAATGTACACAGAGTAACTGAATTATCCTTTCAGTATAACGGGGAGAGTTCTTATTCACGCTTGGAGACAACGTCTGCGTTCAGCCATCCGACCAAGTGCTTTTGCACAGAGGAACAGGCTGGAGACAGAGTTCGTCTCACACTGGGGAACCTCATGGACTTGATCAGTCTCCAAGACTCATCACTTCCACTTTTGCTGGCAATGAAGAATAGCCTCCCTCCCCAAAATAGTTTTCTGCATACATTTCTGTGAGCGCCTTCTCTACTGTGCTGCTCAGAAACCGTGCTTCTCTTCATTGGCACAGCAGAATCACACCAGTTCTGCTCTCTGAAAAACGGAAAAACCCAGAAAAATGGATACAGAGAGCTCTGCTTGCTACCTAAGGGTAATGACCGGTTGGTTGTTGCTGACCTTGAAAGTCAGCGGTTGCCACTGTTTAGATTTATACAAAAGCTGGTAAAGACTCCATCCACTGTTCCAGCTTTGCACGAATTATGTGATCTGCGTGACTAGTGCCTTGCTCTTCCCAGGAAATGAAATACATGTTATGGTGCTGTACGCTGGTGGTATCTGAATTGTGAGAGGTGTCTCGCTTCTAATCTTCTTGAAAGTTGTGCTGCCCTCCCACCCATCAAATTCTGTAGCATCTTTAGAGAGAAACAACTCGCTTGCTGTACTGTATGTAACACCTGTCAAAGTAAGCATGAGGTCGATCTGTATAATTTTAGCACAAATAAAGCTCCCATCAATTCTAATGGACTTGTGGTAGGATTAGGCTATTTGAACTAAAACCACAAAAATAAAAAGTGCGTCAGCATAAGGTTTGGTTTGTGATCCTTTATGTTTTATATTCCCTCTTCCCCCCCCCCCTCCTTCTTATTTCTTTTCTCACTCTCCCAGGGCTCCGAGTAGGCAATGAAATCCTGAGCATAAATGGAGAGACTGTGTCTGATCTTGACCTCAGGCAGATGGAGTTACTGTTTTCAGAGAGAAGTGTGATGCTCACTCTGAGAATGAACCATTACGGGACCCAGCAACCCTTATGTGCGTCCTGGTCAGATGGCGACATTTCCAGGGACCCAAAGAGTTTGTTGCCCCCTCCAAACCAGTCACAGCTCCTGGAAGAATTTCTAGATAACTTCAAAAAGAACACAGCAAATGGTAAGAGGTTGACAAATAATTCTGTTACTTTCACCTCACTTCCAATATCACTGTTTTTTAAAACTCAGTTATGTTTAAAATCCTATGCTTGCCTTAGTGAGAAACCTGAGTACAAATTAAGTTCCATTTATGCTCCTTATATGTCTGTTATCTTATTATTTTCTAAAAAGTGGAAATGGAACAGAATATGATAATTTCTGCAGGGAAATGATATTCTTTTAATCTGTTTGGCTACGCCATGCAGTATTATCAAGCGCTCTCTTAACTGTCATGTGTCATTTCGGGTACCTCCAGTACTTCCATGTCCCAGCCATCAGTGGCTGAAATGATGTGACGGCTCTCAAAGGCAGAAGTATTGTTCTGTGTGTACCATGCTTTACATATGGTAAAGTACCACATACATTAAGGGTGCTTTAAATGCAATAATCATCATCACCTCAGAAAGCAGTCATTTGGCTCTGCTCCCACCCGATGATATTACTGTGTTCCCATTGGACGTTGCTGCTCACTGTGTAGAAGAAAGCCTGTGGAAACAGCTTTCATAAGGATTGTTTTGCTACTACCTGCTCATATTTCCTTCTCAATGTATCACCACTGTATTAAGCATCAAATGGAGGACATAACCTAACAGTGCTGTGTCAGGGTGAGCTCCTGATGGATTTCCGTATGAGAAGCACCAGGCGGGGAAGGTGCCAAAGCCTGTGTGGTAAGGACTGCTCCTGGATGACGCCACGGCCTCCAGCCCCAAGGAGGGTGCTAGTGCTCACTGTGGGTTGCCTTTTCAGCTGGCAAATAGGACGTGGCATGCAGAGGGGCACCACCACGCTGGGTGGAGGAGAGCCATGGTCATCCTTCCCTTGCTTTAGCTGATCTTACTTCACGTGGGAAGTACCTCTTGTGATACCAGAGTACTTGTAAATGCCTGTCTGGGATAGAAAGTATGTGGGGATTTGCTCCCCTTCCTTTCCATGCCTTGACTATTTTTCAAGCAAGATAGAAGCAAATTTAACTCTAGTTTCTGGAGTGTAAAAGGTGCAGTTTCCTCGCTGCACCTCTGGAGGATGCTAGTAAAATTCTGCAGGAAGGATAGCCGGGGTGCACGGCTGTGCGAGGAGAACAGCAAGAGGCACAAAAAAGCATCGTTGATTTTTGTATATAATTACGGTGGCAAGTATTTTCTGATTGGAATTTTTTTCATAAATTAAAAATGGGAAAAAGAATCACATAGGAGAAGTTGTTAGAATGGATTTAATTATAAAGCCATTTTATTAGGTCATCTTTTGAAATTAAAAGAAATCTGAATACATGATTTGTGATACAGTAAGTAGCATCTCTCTCAGGGGCCTTATTTCAATTTAAAATGCCATTAAATTGACTAGTGGCACATAAAAGTTAGTGTCATAAAACAAAAATTATGATAGAGCTAATTAATTACATAATTATACCAGTGCTATCATTCAGCTTGTTGGCTTGATATCATAGGCCAGCATTACCTGGAGTATTCAGTATAATAAATGTATGTGTCCATTCACTAGATTCCTCATTCCTCCAGGGTAAATTTGCAACCTGTGCAAATATTCCATTATAATAGGAAATTACTGGAGTATGTATTATACCGCAAGCGCTAGTGGATAAAGGGACATAGTATATTTGCTTTTCTGCTTAAAAGCAGCTAAGGAAGATTTATTCTGAAAGGGAGCACAGAGTTTGAAATTAAGCTTTGTGAGAAGGACTTTCGTGTTTATTGAATTCAGTGCTTAGTGTCTGGTCACCTGATCGGGTTCAAATGGAAACAGAAGAAAATGGCATTACTTTGAATAAATAGGTAATCATAAAGGGTTTAACTGTTCTGTGTCCTATTACTCACTCAGGAATTGAGTAAGATTTTAGATAAGAAGAGAGGGTATTTAATGATCCAAGCAGGGATTTGGAGGCCAGAGACCCTTAAATTCACATCCAGTGTTTAATACTGTTCTGTCTCCTTTGGTAGAGTTGAGTGAGTCACTCTTAACACCACAGTTTTCAGAAATAATTTCTGACATTTGCTTGTCCATGTTGAGCCTGTTCTTCCACGGCAGCGCCTTTGAAAGTCAGTTAGTGCCAGCAGAGGGGGACCTCTTTCAACAATCAAGTGCAATTTGGCTCAAGGTACATATCTGAAGTTAAAAACTCTTAATATTTCTGCTGTTGCCTCCCTGTTTTTAAAAATTAACTAACTCTATTTATCTTTCTAAAGTACCGTGAGGATTAATGAGCTAAAATTAACAAAGTGCTTGGAAAATGGAAATTTTCAGCACCGAGTCACATGTTAATACCCTGCCTGGTGCTTGGTGACAACCACCAGGCGAAAGCAAAACAGAATTTACTTGAAATCATTGGCTTCATATAACTTGGCTAGTGATAGTTTGTCCTCATTTGTTTACAGTTTTGTAACTGCGTAGCATAACTCTGAGGAATGCCTTTTCCTACGTATTCTGCTATGTTGAGTATACCCTATTATACCTTGTGGCAAACTTTGGCAGCCTTTACTGTACAGAAAGGAAGTGATTGACTTTCTCCAAAGCCACTAACTCTGCCACTCCTCAAAAATCGTTCCCAGGGAATTTTCTGTGAGAGTGATTCGTTTGCTCCAAGAGGTTGCTATACCATTGTAACTATGTTTTGGACCTGCTGTGGTCGTATCATTTGATCTCCCACAAGGCAACACTGTGTGCTTGCTGCTTAGCCGCTTGGCTAGTAATAAGCTTTTCCTGGAAAAGAAATGAGATGAAATAGTTTTAAAAAATGCACTCATAAATGTGGAAAACCAAGCAAGTAAATCTGCTCCAAGCTCCAGTGCTGAGGAAATCAAACAAATATTTGTGTAGAATTAAAAAAATGAGGGCATTGGACTGGAATTCTTACAACTGTGGAGGAAAAAAATGCCTCATTTTAAGATGGCATGGGTATCTGAGGAATAAGCAACAGAGCAGGCAGGAGAATTGAAAACCGTATATTTAGGGCAATGCCGTGTGGGTTAATGGTATATCTATAGATTGCTGAGGCAGGAGGTAGAAGCATTAGTAGGTGTGAAAACCCATTGCAGTATGTGAGTTGCTGTCAGAGTTGGGCAATTTTTTTTTTCCCCAGCAAGTGGGTTTTGCCATGAAAGCTGTCATTTCTGGTTAACTGACACTGTTGAAATCAACCCTAATTTGTAAATAGACCTCTGAAAAAATAAAAGAAATAAAAAAGTGGGAGATGGCAGTTTGGATATACTTTAACAAGTTTCCATGAAGAAACACTTTCATCTGGGAGAGTTAGAGAGCTAAATGGGAAAGAAACCATTAAAAAAAAGAAAATTAAAAAAAATTTAGAGATGGACATACTGTTCCTTCGCTCCCCGCTGCACTCTTCATCTTTGGAGTAGGGCACTTACCTTCTGTGTGGGGCCTGGATTCCTATCTGGCCCATCGTTCTAGAGGTATGGTCCCAGGAGCGGTGAAGAATGCTTGGGTGCTGATGACAAGGGCGAGTCTTGCTCCTCCTCCTCCTCCCCTGCACCGCCTTGACCCTCCCTTCCAGCCCCATAGCACTTGTCCCGCCCCTGAGCTGGCAGCAGCACTTGCTGGAGCCCTTGATGAAGCTAATTAAGGAGAAGACTTTCTTTCCCCCCTGCCCCTACAAACTCAGTGAGTTGAACTGGCAGGTGCAGAGGTCTGACGAGGGCCAGAGCCAGGTAAGCCGGAGGAAGAGCAGAGGGGAGCTAGCGGGTGCCGGGACAGAGCTGGTTGCAAGGAGAGTGGCTGTCAGAGGCACCAAGCTCTCTTTCAGCCGACCTCCCCACAGAGCACCTCCCTAGCCTCACTGGAGCATGGGTTTTGCCCTCTGCTTTCCCACCTCTCGCGCTGATCCCTGGGCAGTGGTGTAGTCTGGGACGTGCTGGTTGGAGTCGCTCGCAGTGAAGCTATTTCACGTTGTATAAAGCATGGCTGGAGTTGGAGAGAGACAGTCAGGCTTTATGGTGTTTGACAAGTAGCTGGGATGCATGCTGGAGAGGAGCAATGACATTTCAGCTCCTGATCTGCTGAACAGTGAGATATTTTGGCAAAATGTAACTGCTTCAGGAGGAGGATCGGTGATTTGAACCCTTATGTGGGAAGTGGCTTTTGTGTTGCCAAGACATGAGCCACTTCTGATTTTAAGCTTAATAAGCACACACAGAAGCAAAGCACATCAGCTGGCCACAAGTTTAATTTTTACATGACTAAATTATTTTTAAAAATGTGGTCATAGTAATAATAATAATTGGTTTGCATTCAATTCCAAGGCAATTTCTGTTTCAAATACGCTTCACTAGATGGTTTAGATGCCTCTGTGAAGTGTAATTGCAGCTCACAGCTTCTCCAGAAAAACTTTGCTCCATTCAGCTTCGTCAGATACCACGGAGTTGATGGAGGAGAAGGGAGACAGAGGCTGGCTCTGCAGCCAGCTGGCTGTACGCACGTCGCTGCGCACGCCTCTCCAGGTAGCGCTGCCTGCATGCCCTTCCAGCCCCAACCCATCCTGGATACCAGAAAGACCTGTGTGTCCCTTTTAAGAAAAGAGATAGAGTCAGGAGGATGTGAGGCTGAGGTGGTCTGTAGCCTCCAGCAGCTGGGGGCTGTGCTTGGAGCACTGGCTTACACCGCTCTGCTTGTTGCTGTTTGCCCATAGTTTTTAAAGCATTTCCTAAGCGTCTTTTAATGTAAACCTTCAAAGCATTTTGTAAACAAAAGTAAACCTAAAACTTAACTGAAAAACGTTTCTAAAAGAACTTCTACTTTTAGCTCTTCCCAAATCAGGTGCTGTTTGTTTGCCTGTCTGCTGTTTCGACATTTAAATTCTCTTCATCGTGCTGCAGGGCAAGGCCTTCATTGCACTGCATGTGTGAGCAATCAAAGAACTGTATTTTTACTCTTTCACAGGAAGCTCTTTGAGCTCGGAAGAGGTGAATGTTGCTTTTTAGCTTCCTGAGTCCC